ACAGGCGATATCTCGGCGGACCCGTTCAAGGAGAATTGAAGCTCGAGGAGGCGGAGGGAGACGAGAAGGAGGAGGAGGAGGCCCCCCCGGAGAGTGGCGTCCCGCCTCACCCCAGCGGAGTCGACTCTTCACACCTCCTGGCTCTTCCCTGTCCTTCCTCCCCCCCGCCTCCTCCGTCGATCCCTCCTCCATCCTCCTTCTCCCTCCCTCTCTTCTCCCTACGGCTTCCCTCCATCACTATCCCCAAACACTGCTTGCACTAATTCATGGCTCGTGCCTGCTGCTCTAAGGATTTGGGTGGGTCGGCCGAGGTTTCGCTTGGCGGGCATCTTTTCGACCCCCCCTCCCTCCCTCGACCTCCAACTCTTCCTGCCCACTGGCCCCCTCCCGTCCCTCGCCCTCCTGTCGTAGCGGATCCATATCCCTCTCCTCCTTCTCCTCCCTCTCCCTCACCCTGGGAGCATCATCATCATCATCAGCATCATCATCATTATTAACATCATCATCGCCATCATGATCATCATCGCCATCACCATCATCACCAACATCAGCATCCGCATCACCAACGACATCAGCATCATCATCAACAGCATCATCAGCATATTCATCATCACTACCAGCATGATAATCTGCATCATCATCATCATCTCACCACCCTCATCAACATCATCATCATCATCCTCATCATCATCATCATCATCATCATCATCATCAGCATCATCATCATCATCACCACCACCACCACCACCACCACGCCACCACATCACCACCACCATCACCACCACCACCACCACCACCACCATCATTCACCCTCCGCATGGCGCTCGAGCAGCCTGGGCTCCTCCCGCGGCCGCCATGGCGGCCATGATCGATTCGCCCGCGCTCCATGTGGTGCGCCCCACAAAGGCCGCGCGCGGCCAGGCGGCCGTCCCTTGGAGTCGGCCAGGGGCGTGGCCTGCAGGCGCCGCGGCGAGATTGTCGCTCCCCGATTGCCCTGGCAATCGGGACTGGAAGCGGCGGCGCGGCGCGCGAGCTTTGGGAGTGGGCTTGGCTGGGGCAGGCCTGCGGCGCCAACCCGCGGCCCCTTGCGTGGTCTCTGGGACCACGGTGTGGCCGCGGGCTTGGTGGGCGCCCATGTTGGTCGAACTGCCGCTGCCCGACATACAGCCGCTGGATTCGTGGTATTTCGTTGCGTGGCAGGACCACCTGGTGCCTGCCACGTGGTGGGTCCCGCTGTACAGCGATGCGGGAGGAGGTGGACCCAGCCGTCATCGCGACGGTCTGGCGCGACCCCGACGGGCACAACGTACCGCGCCCGTAAACAAAACCCAACACCGCTCATACCTCACACGTTTCGCGCCCCAAAGCTAGGCCACCAAAAGCGTTGCACCCCAGGTGCTGGAGGAGGGAGTCGCAGCGGTGCGCGGCGTTTGAGGACCCAATCGTTGTGCCGCCAGCATCCGTAACGATCACCAACCATCAATAGTCATCACCAACAACCATCACCAACTACCATTAACAACCATCAACAGCCATCACAGAACAAAAAAGGACAAAAAGAGACAAAAAGAGACATTGCGACATGAAAAGAGACAAAAAGAGACAAACAAAGACAAAAAGAGACAAAAGAGACACATTTGCAACTGCGCGCGCCTCCTGGAAGGTATGGAAGGTTGGAGGGCCAGGGAAAGACGAACACCCAGAAAACATTAGAAAATATGGGGAATCCTGGAATTTGTCTGTATGTATGTGTCTGTCCCTGGGCCCCCTCATTCTGGGGGCCGATTTTGAGATGCGAGTTGTCTCAACTCGCCCTGCTTCGAGCTTCGAGGCGAGACGGTCGGAGGCAGAGGGGAGGCTTCGAGGATCGGCGATCCAGGCGCGAGAAGCGGGGCTCGAGGACAGAGGCTCGGAGCTCGAGCGTCGAGAATCGATGTCTCGATGGTCAGGTTCAGGTCCAAGCCTCGAGCATCGATGTCAGAGGAGAGGCTCGGGCGTTCGGGAACAAGGGGGGTTAGGAAATCTGCTGCATGCAGCTGGTTTCGGCCCCCCGACGGGCGCCTTCCACGATCCGCTGGCGCCTCTGGCGCCGGGAAGCCCAGGAAAGTCCAGCTGCATGCAGCGGATCCCCCCCATTTGCTATCAACTCTTTCCTGTCGTCCCGACTGCAAAGGATGATCAAGGGTTCAGATTCGAGGATTGGAGGCTCAGGTCGAGGTTCGAGGATGTTGAGGCTCGAGGATGGGGGTTCGTTGCCTGCTGCAGGGTCGTGGGGCGGCGCCCTCAGAGATCGACGGTCACAGGGGGGTCGAGCACCGACGTTCGATGATCAAAGCTTGAGATGGATGTTTTTGTTCATGGATGTGGGCGTGGGACCGTGAAAACCGATCTGAGATGAGCACGCTGACCATGGGATGCGACTGTTTCGGAGGAGGAGGAGGAGGAGGAGGAGGAGGAGGAGGAGGAGGGGGAGGAGGAGGAGGAGGAGGAGGAGGAGGAGGGCCGAGCTTACTGTGACCGAGGCTCGAGGACGCGGGCTCGAGGACCGAAGCTGGGCGACCGAGGACCGACGGTGCTCGAGGACGGAGGCTCGAGGCCGAGCGTCGAGGCTTCGAGGCAACCTCGCAGGCCAGCGCGGGAAGGGCGTCCTCAGAGATCGCTGCCCCGGGGCCTCGAGGGCCGAGGCTCGAGGCTCGAGGCCTCCTCGCCCTCCTGCCCTGCGTCACGTCTGCAGCTCACCCCGCCCGTCTGCCTCTTGGTGGAGCCTCTGGCACGCCGCCGTGATCTGCAGCGCTCCCGCGATCGAGGATTGCGGTTTTGGACACCCTGGGGCGTCCTTGGCCTCCGCGGGCGGCCCTGCACGACTTGATGCCATCGGGACCCTGACCGGACAGCGCTCCAGGAGATGCCCGCGGGGCGCCGCCGCCGCCGTCACCGCCGTCGGCGTCAGCGTCGCCGCCGCCGTCGTCGTCGTCTTGGTCGTCGGCGTTATTGTCGTCGGTGTCGGCGTCGTCTTCGTCGCCATCGTCGTCTTCGGAGATGTTTGGAGGTTCCCCGGGCTTTTGGGAGCAGCAGTTCAGGTACTTTCCAGGGTCCTCGGAGGGTTCGGATGTTTAGGAAGCGTTTGGTGATTGTCCACTAGTGGGAGTAGAAGGAATTGGTAGGGGAAGACGGGGAAAGCATGGGGATGGTCATGAGGGGGAAACAGTGGAGTTCAAAGAAGCGGAGGAGGGGCAGGAGGAGGGGGAGGAGGAAGGGAAGGGGGAGGGGGAGGGGGAGGAGGGGAAGGGGGAGGAGGAGGAAGAGTGGGAGGAAGAGTACGGAGAAGGAGCATTCCGTCCAAAGCAGGGGATGTGGAAGATAGGGTCGGGATCAGGCTGTTGATCACCTCGGATCGAGGGGGTCCGCTTCCCCCCCAGCCCCTGTTCTGGCCGTCGCACTCTTTCGCGACGTGGGCCCGCGGGGATTTTGACCCCTTCCGCAAGGCTGGCTTTTCATCCTGAGCCGTGTTCTGAAGGTGGCCGGGACCCTCCCGGGACCTGGAAGCTGCCTCAAGGGCCCGGGAACGTCAAGAAGTTGGCCGTCACGACCTCATTGTGCCGCCTGGATCTGGTCGGGGGCGACGGGGGGAGGGTTGGGACATGGCCGCCAGGAGCCGCAAGGGGGGGATTGGGAAAGGCGGGTACTAAATCTGCTGCATGTAGCTGGTTTCGGCCCCGCCGCCAGGCCCATTCCTCGATACATGAGCGCCTCCGAGCGCTCGGAGGCGCCGGGAAAATCAGCTACGCGAGCTGATTCTCAACCCCCCCCTTTGCTATCCCTCCCTTTCGCCCGGCCCGAAAGATCCAGCCGTCGCGTTTCTGTGGCGTCACCCAGCTCCGCGCTGGGCGGGCCAGGACGGAGTCTCCCAGATCGTTCCCGGAGGCTCCTGCGGGAGCGCTCGGGAGCAGCCGCGCGGCGCCCGATGCATGTTCCAGAGCCGTCGGACCCCAGAGGTCCCGGGTGCATCTTGGTGTGATGTGGTCCCGGTGCGGTGTCCAGACTTGTTCCGTACGTCGGGGGCGGCAAAGAGGGGGGTGATGACTATAGGGGGGGGTGGATATCATGGCGTGGGCCATGATAGTTCCCCAGATTTCATGGCGCCTCTTCTCATTCATCACGTCCCTGCCCCCCCCCCTGGGCCGCGCACATGCCGCCGGCCATGATTTTGCGCCCCCCTCTCTTGGACGCCTCCCTCTTGGCCACCCCCGAGTACGGGGTCCCTGGAAGTCTTCCCAAATGGCCAGCTTTTCATCCTGGCGAGGGCCCTCGGAGCCCGAAGATGGCCAGACGGCTCCCCCCCCCTGGGCTCTTTTCAAGACGCCGGAGTTTCGGGCGTCATCTTATGCCGAGGGCTCGCCGTCCTGGACATCCGGGCACGAGGTCATGGACCCCTGCCCTGCAGACACAGCAAAGAACTACAACCACAACCCAGTGTATGGGTGGACAGACCTCCTACCCTGACGCGTCGATTAGTGAATTGTCCGTTTTCGGTTCTCGAGAGGGCGTCGCGGCCGTCATTTTCCAGGCTTGCGCCCGCCAGGTTTGGGCCTCAGGTCGTTTTCACTAAACCACGTTTTACTAAAGGGGGGTCTGTCCATCCCCGAAAGAACTACAACCACAACCGAGTGTATGTTTCTGTTCTTCCGGGGGAGAACCCGCCGACATCGGCATGAGCACTTCTGGCTGTGGTCGAGCTGGCCGTCATGGGACGCCCACGTCGACCACAGCCAGTCCTGTAATTAAGCTGGCTTCGCCGTCCGGGCGACTGGCGTGCGCGAGGCCACCCGCAGGGTGCGTCCTCGATGTCGCTGGGGCCGCTTGCTGTCCCCGCACTCCCTGGGACCGGCGTCCTATCCCGAGCCGTTCTTTGACGGCCCCGGTGCCGAGGCTGTCGGAAGCCCCCCGTCGTAGCCAGGGGCTGCCGGGCGCCCATGCTCTCCGCGGCGTGCCCCCGCGAGGCCGAGCCCGTACCACATGGGCAGCGCTGGCGCCCTGGTCGGCGGCGGCATGGCGGCCCCCGGCAACGACGGCGGTCTCTACATGGCCGGCTACCTCGGCACTGGCGGCCCGATCACCGCGCCTCGGCACCTCATCGTCGTCGTCGTTTTGTCGTCGTCTTGTCGTCGTCTTTTGTCGTCGTCGTCTTGTCGTCGTCATCGTCGGCGTCGTCGTCTTGTCGTCGTCGTCGGTCATCGTCGTCGTAGTTCGTCGTCGTCGTCGTCGTCGTCGTGGTGGTCGTGGTCGTGGTCGTCGTCGTCGTCGTCGTCGTCGTCGTGGTCACCGTCTGCCGCTGGGTTCCAACAGCGCCCGCGAATGTGCGAAGTGATTCGCGCTTCGCCGTTCGTTGTCTGCTCGATGCCCGCCCTCCTTTCCGTCGTCCCTGGGGGGGGGGCAGCGCGAGAGCGCGAGATTGCTCGCGTTTCGCGCTTCGCGCAGCGCCACGCGCGAACTAAGGCTCCCTTGGAGATCCTGGCTTTGCATTTTTCTCACAACGGGAGTTTTGGTTAAGTCGGGCGCGTTCCTCTACAGGAAGAATACTTTCAAGTAGTTAGAAATAGTATTGGGGCGATGTTTCGACTATTTTTGCATATTGTCGAAAATTGCTTGACTATTTTTCTCTCGTCCAAAATCCGCCTGTAGTAGGACTTGCCCGACCTAAAGTTTTGGCCCAGTTTCAGGCCCCAGGGCCCTTCCAGATCGATCCAGCTTGAAGTCTGCTCTGTGAAGAGAGGGTCCAGGGATCCGGTCGATGTTTACTACGATGTTGCGTTTTTGTTTTCCGGACGTAGCCACGAGTTTGTTTCTTGCGAGGTAAACTAACTGAACTGGGCTGAACAGACGGGTCGCACCCGTTACGCGACGGTTGTGCTCTCGGCCGCCAAGGGCGCAACCTATGGCGCGACCGATAGGAGACGGGTTTTGTTCACGGCCGCCGAGGGCGCAACCTATGGCGCAACCGATAGGAGTCTGTTTTATTCTCAGCCGCCGAGGGCGCAACCTACGGCGCAACCGATAGGAAACCGAGCTGTAGCAGGAGGAAGACGAGGAAGACGAGGATGAGGAGGAGGACGGGGAGAAGGACGACGACGAAGATCAGGATGGGGAGGAGGATGGGGAGGAACACGAGTAGTACGAGGAAGAAGTGTGGGCCTTCGAGTGCGTGTGGGGCTACGCCCGATTTATGCTTGCTGTATGGGCTGGCGGTGGGGCCCAAGCGGCGAGCTGTCTTGTGATTTTGGTGACGTCCTAAACGCAAGGTTTTTTGTACGTGTTCGGGCTCTGGGTGCCCTCCCTGGGCCCTGGCACTGCCAAAATACAACTCGCAATGCTGGCACTGGGAGAAGGCCCTGGGGTTCCAGGACCCGTTCCCCTCAGGACCCTTCTGCCTCATGCCAATGTCGTCGCCGCCGCCGCCGCTGCCGTCGTCGTCGTCGTCGTGGTCGTCGTCGTCGTCGTCGTCGTCGTCGTCGTCATCCCCGTCCGCTTCTTCCAGGAAGTATTGTGCTTTTAGTTGCCCTGCTGCGCCCGTGCTGAAGCGCCCGCCGTGCCGTGTTCGGCATCCAGGATGAGCACGCTGCGTGTTGAGCCCGTGTCGGCTGACGTTTCGTCCATCGTATCCCACCAGACCTGCGCTTTCCACCTACGTGCTGAGCTCCGAGTCAATTCTCCCGGGTCTGCGTGTTGCGTGTCGGGGCAGCTATAGTTGAATTGGACTTGTGCTTGTAGCTGACTGGCTCTTGCGGCGACTCTGGCCGCCGACCGCGGCTTGAGAAACCCAGAGGGAAACCTCCAGAATTAATTGCATACCACAATTTTGAAGGTGTGGTATAACAGAATCTGGAGGACTCCTTTCTGGGGCGGGAAGTTCCCGCCCCAGTTGGGTGTAGTCTACAGGTTCTTCGGGTGGAGGAAGGAGAACCCAGGCTCTCGGGTCCCCCCTGAGACCCAGGCGACACAACAAATATCGTGAAGGCTGGTTGTGTTGGCTTCCAGGGGCCGCTTCCGAGTCTCATGGCGGAAACGACTCAGGGCGAAAAGCCCGCCCCGGGGAAGGGGACGAGATCCCGGGGCGCCGTCGCCACGCGAAAACGCAACGCTTCAGGCGATGGCTCCAGGACATTATCTGGACATGTGTTGGCCCCCCGTTAAGTCGGATCTGGCCACGAGGTCCTGGCCAGGACGCGCCAGGACAGGTGCGTGGGGCGGCTGAGGACGGCGTCGCCGTGGTCCTTTTCCTTGTCGTCCTCGGTTGTCTGTCATCGGTCGCCTTCGTTACGGTCCAGGTCGAACAGCGTTCCCGAGGTAATTGGTCTTTGCATCCTTCCCTATTCTGCCCAGTCTCAGCCAACCTCGCTGGCCAGCTCTGTGGAGAGCCCCTGCGCGCTTCATGAGGTCACCCCTGCACTCTTGGGTTGTGATTCTTGGTGCTCTGTCGGGCGGTAAGGATTGGTGTGGATGCGTGTGTTTGCGTGCGCGTTTTTGTGTTAGCGCCGCGGCCGACACTTCGCTCCGTTTGGTCCCCTTGACCGTCTGTCTAAGTCCGCCGCGTCGCTACGCGCGTGGCCGCGAAGCCAACAAGTGTGCGTGTGTGTATATGTGTGTGCGTATGTGTGTGTGTGTGTGTGTGAATGTGCGTGTGTGCTTGTGCGTGAATGTGTGTGCCTGTGTGCGTGTGCGTGTATGTGCGTCTGTGTGTAGGCAGTTCCGGGGCCTCCCGCGGTGGGTTCCCGTCTCCGTGTCGTCGATCGCCCGTCGTCGTCGTTGCGCGACGTCGTCGTTGCCCGTCTTCGTCGTCGTTGTCCGTCGTCGTCGTCGTCGTCGTCGTCGTCGTCGGTGGTCGTCGTCGTCGTCGTCGTCGTCCATGTCGTCCGTCGTCCGTCGTCGGTTGTCGGTCGTCAGTCGTCGGTCCCTCGAGTCGTTGACGTCGTCGTCGACCTCGTTCGTCGTCGTCTTCGTCGTCTGTCGCCGCCACCGTCGCCATCGCGGTGGGTCGACTGTTCAAGAGGTCCCGGGCATCTGATTATTTGATTGTTCTCAATGCGCGGCCTTAAGATTGTCCAGGGGCACGATGGCAGACCCCAGGGGCCGAAATCGCGACAAAAGTGACATATTGAGCAGAACATGCCGTCGCAGATCTGGGATCACATCGTCGGTGGTCTGGGTCTTCAGGTCGGGCAAGCTCGGCGTTGCGAGGGCCCCGGGCAGGTACCTCTAGCCATGCCGAGGCCGTGACGCGGCAGCGCGGGTGTATTGTAAGGTGGGCGGCTCTTAGCGACCTCATCGCCGAGGGGGCTGCAGGTGGCGGCACGCAGAAGGGTCGCAAAATCCCCAAACTCGGAGGATGAAAAGGTACCAATGCAACGGATGGATTTCTGGAGAGTTCCTTTGCCACGGTTGGATTGTCCTGAAGATTCTGGCCAGAACGCACGCCAGGGGAGGTCCGTGGAGTAGCCGTATGGGCATTTTTTGACCTCCAGAAACTGTGAGTAGCCACGCTGTCTGGTGAGCCAGCTGGGATGCAGGGTGAGCGCACGGTTTCGGAACCTGGCTCGTTCTCCAAGGATGTCTCGGACAATTGGGGCTCGATGCCTGTCGCCGCACAGTTCCGGGACCCTCTGAGCGGAGATAGGGGCTCTTCCTCTTGTTCACGGGATCGAGCTTCGAGGTTTGTGAACGGTTCCGGTTTTTCCCCTGACGCTCTCCCGGTGGAAAAAAATGACCGACGTGTTGTGCCAATTTTCGGTGTTTTAGGGCCCTCGCCAGGGTCCCAGGACGGTCAACAGAACGACTCAGGATGAGACGTCGGTCCCGAGGGAGGGGTCCAGGGTGGGTCCGGGATTGGCCTCCAGGAGGCTTCTCGTGGTCGGAGCGCGCGAGCATCACTTAGGGTTAAGTCGTGCTTGTCCCTGTAGGGGGACAGGCCCGACTTACACCTGGGGGCCCCCTCCTGCGGGTGCTCCCCCCCCCCGCCCGACCCCTCCCGCGTGCCGCCCCTGTGTTGGGCGGGCCCGTGGGGGCTCCCAAGCGACCCGCCCCGCGGGTCTGCCGCGGACGACCGGCCGGCGGACCCCCCCGCCGGGCGCGCGGGAAAGAGGAGCCCTCCTCCTGGCGTCGGCGCCGGCAGGGACGACGGAGGCGGGAGGTCGACGGCGACCGCGGCGGACGACGCCGAGTGACCTATTTGTGACCGTGGCATCGCTCGGACATGTGCATTTTTGCTCGGCGAAAAACATCGAGGACCATCCTGGATCATCGAGCAACAAAAAATACGCACGAAACCGAAAAATGCACGGGAAATGGACGTCCGAGCGACGGCAAGTGACCCCACGGACAACGGCGGTGATGACATCTCCGAGGACGACGGCGACCGACGGCAGACGACGCACGAGGACGACGACGGCCACGTCGCTGACGACGACGACATCAGTTTCTTGTGCCACGCCCCCCCCAGGGATCGCGGCCACTCTGACAGGGCTGGTTTTTCATACGGAGTCGTGTTTGGACTCTGTCCCCCGGAGCTGGGAAACGGCCACCAGACGACCAACAATGTATTGTCACGATTTTTTCGGTATGTGTGTGTGTGTGTGAGGACATCATGGCGAGGGCCATCCAATCTCTCAAGTTTCATGCCCCCCGGTCCTTCTTTCAAGACGTTCTATCGCCCCCCTCGTTCGCAAACATGCCTATTGCCCAGGGCCATTGCGCACTAGTTTCTCAGGTGCTGCACACGCAAAACAGCGTCGGCCTGCCTTTTGGTTGGATCTGGCAGGTCATGAATCAGATGGCATTTCGGACGTCGATGCAACACTCACGTCGTGCTTTCGACGCAGACATAACACAACATACATACGTACGTGTATATATACATATATATATATATATATATGTAGACTTGCATGCATGCATGTATGCATGCATGTATGTATGCACACATACACAAATACATTAATTCGTTCATTTATCCATTCATTCATACATGCACACACGCATGCATGCAGTCATGCATGCATACCTGCATACCTGCATACATACATATTTGCCGACCGACTTACCTACCGACCGACCGACCTAGCTCATACAGACCTACCTATCTATATACCTACCTCTGCATGTTTGCATACACGCATTCATTCATACATGCATACACGCATGCCTGCAGACATTCCTACCTACCTACCTGCCTACCCACCGACCGACATACACGCACATACATACACAACATACGTACAGACATATGTTAGCCATCGTAGACCCTAAACAGTAGTTTCTTGCATTCTATGCGGTGCCAACTATGTGGTGCACTGTATGCGATGCAACTTACGTAATGCAATACATGCGATGCAACCTATGCGGTGCAATCTGTGTGGTGCTGTGAGATTCGAGTCTCGAGGGTGCAGTCTGGTACCGTTCCTCTGTTGCACGAGACCCCCTGAGCTTAAGCGTGTATGCTAAGAGGGGAGAGTTGCCCGCCCTTCATTTTGGCTCAAGACCCATACCACACTTACTCTCACGTGCCCTTCAGATTTCCCACATATCCACTTTCTCTCATGCCTTCTCCACCGTTCACGAGTTTTCGACTGCTTGGAGTTTGTGTGCAGGCGTGGCACTGACGAGGTGATAAAGGACCGAGCATCTTCATCCTCACAGCTGTCGCTTGTCGGGCGACAGTGGCAGCGGAGCATGAAGCTCCAGTTTCCGCGGACCGATGGCGGCAGCATTGGGGAAATATGGTAAGTCGGAGACACCTGCAGCGTCTGGGGAGCCGAACACAGCTCAAAAAGCAGCAGTGAACGTTCTAATGGGTAGAGGTCTTGATATTTCAATGGGGACAGCACAGCAGCTGGCTCAAGAGATGTTGCAGGCTGTGAAGAGTCCCGAGGAGTCGAGCGGCCACCAGAAAGCGAGAGCTTGACCGATCAGAGGGATTCTTATCAGCAGGAGCACAGGGGGCAGCCGACGGTGGTGGTCTGGCTGGTACGGTGGACCAGCAGGCGACCCTCCCTTGGCAGCCGGTGCGCCGTCGAGTGCCGTTGGCACGCAGACGCACCAGGGCTCCGGGTCAGCAGCCGGGTCGGACAGTCGCTGGCAGCGGTCGGGGACCTGAGAAGCAGCGACGACAGGCGCGGCGACGACTGGGGCAGGCCTGGAAAATATCCTTGGGCCCAGGCGGACGCCGGCTGGAGCACCAGTGCCAGGCGAGAGTCTACGGGCTAGGGGGCGTCCGTGCCGTGGAGTCCGACCTCACCGCAGTGGGGTCAGAGTGAAGATCGAGGATGGCAAGCAGGATGAAACGGTTGGGAGCCCAACATCGACAAGCGCAGCTCTTGGGAGGACCATCCTCGAGGTAAGGAGTATTCGGATCCCGGACAATGGGGAAACTTGACCAACTATCGATAGTGGGGACGCAAAATCCAGGGATGGCGTCGCACTACGGACATCGCCCGCTGGAAGCAGGCAGATCGGCTGTTCAAGTCTCTGGACGCAGATCTGCAGCGGAAGCCCGAGGACGTAGACGACGAGACGCTGTGCAGTGAGCGAGGGGTCGACGTAATCCTGGAGCGGCTCGACTTATGACAGGAGAACGTCATGGGGACGAGCGCCGGCAGTTTGCTCGAGAGCGCCTGCTCGACTACTCTAGGCGCCACAACAGGAACCTGACGGAACACCGCGCCAGGATCGACGCGGCGTTCGACCGCGTGGCGTCTCAAGGCCTGGCCCTCCCGGGCGACTGGAAACTTGCGCTCTTGGAGGAAGGCGTCGGCCTGGACGAGAAATCGGCCCAGCTGGCAAATATATCCATGCGAGGAGAGAGAGAGAGAGAGAGAGAGAGAGAGAGAGAGAGAGAGAGAGAGAGAGAAAAACAAAAAAAGAGAGAGAGAAAGAAAGAAAGAAATATATAAAAAAAAGCACGCCTACAAGGCCGTGCTCTCAGCGGTCAGGGAGATGAACATCAGCCATCGCGAGCACCTCTCGATCAAGCGGAGGGCGTTCGTCACGATGTAGCCAGATAGCCACGTCTACCACGCCAAGAGTGCGGCCCCACCCCCACCGACCCCTCCGACACCATGACAGGTGGAGGCGGACGGCGACGATGAGTCTCTGCTTGACTACTCGGACGTCTCTTCGATGAACTCGGAGGACGAGGCGGTTGCGCGGGCAGCCCTGGAGACCACTGACGTGGGCGAGGACGATGCCCCTGCAGCGCTGGCGGCCATCAACCAGGAGCGTCGCATAACGTGGAAAGAGAACCAGGATCTCCCGAGGTGCTTGAAAATTGGCAGGAAGTTCTTCGACCGCTCGGGGGCTCGTGGCACTGATGGGCGCGAGAGACTTCGCAGGCCCAGTCGCGGAGCAGCGGGTGGCACCTTCCGTCTTCGGAAGACTCGTCTACCTTTGGCTGAGCTGATCAAGCGCACTCGGTGTTGACTGCGCCACGAGAAGGGCCACCGGTCGAAGGAGTGCCCCGACAGGTCAGGTGGCAGCGCTCCGAAGACAGCGCAGCCGTCCAAAGGGTGGCTCCCACTTCTCGGGCCCCACCTTCACGCGCGTGAACGCGCTGGGCGGCTACGGCGCCGGCGCCTCTGAAGGCCCCGTCTCGTTCCAACCTCCGTCCTATGCTGCAGTGCTGATGTCAGTAGGCCCTGGGGCCACGGTAGTGGACGCGGCCGCGGGGCAGGGTCTAGTGGGGCAGCGGTCTGGAGAAGATCGAGAAGCACTGGGCTTCAAAGGGGTTCGAGATTCCCGAGGCGCCTCCTCGGAATTCTCGGGCTCGCGGCGTGGGCGGAGGTGTTCTGGCTTCAGGCGCTGACCTCATTCAATTCGGCATCGAAGGCCGAATTGGAGTCATAAGGCTAGGCGTTTTTTTGTCCCTCAAGGACGCGCCCCCTCTCCTGCCGATCGGGTTTCAAGAGATGATTGGAGGGAGACATTGTCGATATTCCAGGGAGCGTTATGAAGTTTATGCAGGGCTGACTCGTCTTCCAACGGTTCACAGTGCATCTCAGATGGGCAAGTTTTCCAGGTGCGCCAGGGATTGCGAGCCGCCGGAGTCAGTCTCCCGGGCGTGCCCGCAACTGCCGCGGGGCGCGCTTCAGGCTCGGGGAAAATAGGTTTCTCTGTCCCCCTCCTCCTCTTTGCCCCGCCCCCCCCCCGCTTCAGCGCTCGATGCGTCTGGACCCAGACGAGCCGTAAAGCAGGCTGAGACGCGTCTGGGAAGGTTGTGGGGCTGCTGGAAAAGCTCGAGGGGTTCGGCCAGGACCAGGGTCAAATGAACTCAGTTTGGAAAGTCGGGGCATCGGTCATCGGACAGGGTCCTGGACTTAGTGGAGATCGATCCTGAAAACAAACTAAGGACTGGGGTCGGTATAGAACCTTTGGGATCCGCGTCTGGACTGGGGACCTCGCCGTCTACGAAGCGCACAGCACAGAGGTCCCCCTGTCATCCTGCAGCACTTGGGCTCAAGTTACTTTTGACCTCCGGAAGATTCGACGACGGCTACTCAGGGCAGCGCGCGGCCGACAGTCTGAGCGACGCCGCCGCGCTGGGCCAAGCCTGCTCTACGGGGCGACGGGCCCCCGCGTGCCGGAGGGTCCGAACAGGGCCCAGAGCGGATGGACAGCGCTCACGTCATGGGCCCTGATCTGGTCGACGCGCCTGGCGGAGGAGTTCGGAAGCATGGTGCGCTCGCGGCGCTTCTGGCCAACGAACCTGCCGAAGAAGCTGCGCGGGTTGCCGGAGGGCCACTTCGTCTGCTGGCACCCGCCCGCTCTAGTGAGTGCCGGAGCCAATTCATGGGAACGCTGGAGCGTCTGCGCTGGATGCACGATGAGGGTCAGCTACCAGGAGCTAAGGCCGGCGAAGGGGGCCCTGAAGGAGGAAAAGATGCGCTTGTGCAAGAAGAAGGATGCAGCGCGTCTACTACGCGGCCAAGGCTGGTTGCAGCATGGAGGAGAGGCCACCGGGCAGGCCCTCATTTCAGTGCCAAAGCTTTCGCCGGGGGCAGATCTGGGCCCGTTGCCAGCCCATCCGGGGATGCTGCTGCGCGCGAAACGCTCCGAGGACGACGCCTCGATCGGCTACGACAGGAT